ATATATATATATATATATATATATATATATATATATATATATATATATATATATATATATATATATATATATATATATATATATATATATATATATATATATATATATATATATATATATATATATATATATATATATATATATATATATATATATATATATATATATATATATATATATATATATATATATATATATATATATATATATATATATATATATATATATATATATATATATATATATATATAGTTCAACCGGAAGAGAAAAGAACCGGCAGCGTCTTCCCAAACTTGGGTCAAGACTCATCTCCTCTTCCAAATAAATAAATAAATAGATAAATTAAGGAAACGATTTATTTCCAAAATATTATATATCACCAACTTTGTTTTCTGTGGTTGGCGAGAGCACCGAGCTGGTTTCACGCGCCGGAGACCGTCTTCACATTTCCACCACAATTTAATTGTACTTGGCTTTCAAATGGAAGGAATCAATGACACTAATGGGTGCCGATCTTTACTGATAAATTCCAATTTGATGCGAAACGAAGAAGGATAATAGTAAAGAAAGTATTCTAATCTGGCTCAAATGGTCAAGCTAGGCATCATCGTCGGCCGAGGTCAAACCAGTCTGACTCAGCCAGTTTCGATTGGCTTACAAGTCATCTCCGAGACCGGCCTTGGGACGCACCGAAACTGGATTATATTTGTGCCAAATTATTTTGTTTTTTCGAGATACTTAAAATAATTTTCGTTTCAATAAGTCTAAACCCGAACAAAATGAATTGAATTGACATTGATACCCATCTGCATTTCTCGTAGTGAGGAGGGGCAAATACGTCATCGACCACTCGCATCTCGGCCTGACACATCATCATGAGTCTTGGGACCCAGAGCATCATCCAATCAGGCCCCTCGGACACACGCACCGCGTAAAGTTTGTGCCCACGTCTTAGCTAGGCTGGGTGTGTTACCACATTGCCGACCTTTGTCCAGCTGACTCCTTGCATCCGCGGCGCGTCAAACATTTCAACTCGGAGACCACTCGGAAGAGCCGATGCTGCCTAACTCGGTGATCCGAACTCGGAACCCCCCCGGAAAGGCACAAACCTTTCTTCCTTCCTAAGTCGTAACTCCTGCTTCCCCCTATAAATATTCCCCATCTCTTCCACTACACTCTCTGTAGTCTCTCTCCATCCACCAACTCTTCCCTTCTTCATCGTCGGTTTCGGATCCCGAAGCAGCGTTAGAGGGAGAGAGAGAGAGAGAAAGAGAGAAAGAAAGGGGGCAAAGATGGTTCGGTGCAGCAATAACATGATCGGGGTGCTCAACATCATCACCTTCGTGCTGTCGATCCCCATCCTGAGCGCCGGCATATGGCTAGGTAGGCGCGCCACCACGGACTGCGAGAAGTTCCTGCAGGGCCCCGTCATCGCCCTCGGCGTCTTCCTCCTTCTGGTCTCCCTCGCCGGCGTGGTCGGTGGCTGCTGCCGTAACTCCTGCCTTCTCTGGCTCTACCTCTTCGTCATGTTCATCCTCATCGTCCTGCTCTTCTGCTTCACCGTCTTCGCCTTCGTCGTCACCAACAAGGGCGCCGGCGAGGCCGTCTCCGGCCGCGGGTTCAAGGAGTACCGCCTCGGCGATTACTCCAACTGGCTCCAGAAGCGGGTCGAGAACAACAAGAACTGGAAGCGGTTCAAGAGCTGCCTCCAGGACGGCAAGGTCTGCCAGAGCCTCCAGCAGAACAACCAGACGTGGGAGCAGTTCATCAACGATAACCTCTCTCCCATCCAGGTTTGCACACTCTTGCTGATTGATTCCACAAAATCCCTCTGAAAAATCTCCTCATTCTTGCTTTTAATCAACGTCTTGATTATTCTTATATAACTCTAGGGTTCCTTTGCTTGTTGTTAGTGGAAAGTTAGGGTTCTGAAGATGTCCATTTGTGCAAATGTCTCTGGTCTTCTAAAGATACTATCTTCCAGATCTGGGTTTCTTGGATCTCCATTCTTTTCCCCCTTCCCGTGAAACCACCCGCATCACAGTGGGCTTCTTAAAACTTTGTTTTCCCCATTCTGTCTTGATTCTAGTGTTCTAGCATTTTTTTATGACCTTACCATGATAATCCATTCTTGATTACTCTAGCTATGTTTCCGATTTCATAGATCCGGGTTCTCTCTCTCTCTCTCTCTCTCTCTCTCTCTCTCTC